CAAAATCATCAATCCAAATAAATCTAGGGGCCCACTCTAGAACAGACCATTAATTGCTCGTGTGCAAGCTGAAGCAGAAGAAAATTAAAAATTGAAGAAAATTAAATCAAGCTCATGAGAGTCAAAATATGACCTTGTAAATATCCCATCTGAATCTAAAGACCATCTCAAGAACAGATTGCTGTATTAGAAACTAATGACAAAGACCTGAAGAGTTGTGGATGACATCAGGAAAAAAGCAAAAGGTCATTAAAAGGATAGGAAAGAAATACAGAAAAGACCAAAGTGGATACTAGATGAGACTCTGAAATTTGCTCTTAAACCTAGAGAAGTTAAAACAACTGGAAGAGATCATGAAGTAAAGGAGCTGACCAGAATATTTCAAAAGGCAGATGGAGAAGAAAAAGTCAAGTATTACAATGAAATGTACAAAAACCTGGAATTAGCAAATCAAAAGGGAAGAATACCCTTTCTCAGGCTGAAGGAACTGAAGAAAAACTTTGAGCCTTGGGTAGCAATATTGAAGAACTCTATGGGCAAAATATTGAATGAAGGTGTTGTTGTTAAGTGCCATCGAGTGAGTTCCAACCCACAGCGACCTTGTATAGGGTTTCCGAGGCTGTAAATCTTAACGGAAGCAGAATGAAGTAGGAAGCATCAAAAGAAGATAGAAAGCATGCATTAGAGCTCTTGTAGAAAAAACACTGGCTTACCATTTCAAAGGTACTATCTTATAAGGCGCTCTGGTAGTGTAGTGGTTACGAATCGGGCTGAGAACTGCAAGGTCAGCAGTTTGAAACTACCAGCTGCTCCGCCGGAGAAAAATGAAGCTTTCTGCTCCCGTAAAGATTTACAATAAGGTTGAACCCATTGTTGCAGTTACTGTGCCAATACATCTTGTTGGTAGTCTTCTTTTTTGCTGTCCTGCTATTTTTACCAAGCATGATGTCCTATCCCAGAAACTAGTCCCTCCTGATAGCATGCCCAAACTATGGGAGAGTAAGTCTTGGAACCCTCTTTGCTAAAGAGTATTCTGATTAGACTTCCTCCAAAATAGATTTGTTTGTTCTGGCAGTCAGTGGTGCTTTCAATATTCTCTCCAGGACCAGGATTCAAATACATCAGTGCTACTCTGAGCTTCTTTATTTATTCTTCAGCTTTCACATGCATATAAGGCAATTGAAAATATCTTGACTTGTGTTGTTCCTTGTATCAATGAAGTGTGAGAATGAAAGTGGACGGCTGAGAGTAGGGCTCAGAGCAAGAATCGCCGCTTCAGGCATAAGAGCTTGCTCTGAGACCTGCTTCAGGCCGGGGCCATAAGGACAACCAGGCATGGCTAGGCAAGTCCCCAACAGAATGTCTCAAGAGACACAAATGCAGGGTAAAGAGCACACTCATAAAACTGTCACAGTTGAAGACTCACAGGCCAGGTGGCCGGAACAGGTAACAGATAAGATGAGGCCGGTAGGACTGGAAAAAGTCTTAGTACTATAGGTCACTTATGTGATGTTATGTTTAAATCTATTGGATCCTGCGGTTTCTGAATGCTCCATTGGGTAAAAGTTGTAATCCTAGTTTGCATATCCCCCTCCCATGGTGTGTCCCAAAACCCTATATAAGGTGCGGTTTGTGAACTGCTTGGGGTCGAGCTTTGGTGAGCTGATGCAGTAACACTGCTGTAACACTGCTGTAACACTGCTGAACGCTACACTGCCAGCCGCCACTCGACCCTAGCATGCTAGCTTGAATAAAGCCCGCCTGCTTTTGCATTATCTTTGTCTCTTGGTCTCCTTATTGGGTGGTGGTCTCGGACCCTAACAGAAGCCATTAGAACTTGGAGATTTCCTTGTTGAAAAGTGTTTAGTTTTTCATTATAGATTCAATTTCTTTATCTGGTAGTGTAGTAGTGGTTACGAATCGGGCTACGAACCTTAAGGCCAGCAATTCGAAACTACCAGCTGCTCCGCGGGAGAAAGATGAGGCGTTCTGCTCCCGTAAAGATTTACAGCCTCGGAAACCCTGTACAGGGCGCTATGGGTCGGAACCGATTTGACGACACTTAACAACAACAACAACATATAGGATTATGTATAGTTATAAAAATATCTTCAATGCAAATTTTAGTTATAATTTCTAGGCAATTTGTTTATTTCATGTGAATTTTTAAACAGTGCATAAGGTTATTTAAAATATCTTCTTCTGATGCTCTTAGTGCTAGGTAATGTTAGAATTCAGAACTCTGTCACCATCTATTCCTGTCTTTTTAAATTATTGTCTTAAATTTTGGTTCTATATGTATATTAAATCTCATTATTATCATAGGATTATAATAGCAATAATAAGTATCATAGTCACTTGTGTGGTCAAGTTCATTTAGATTTAAACATCTTCATGTTTCTATCTAGAATCAGGGTCAATTTTTTCTGCTGGAAGGACTCATTTTAACATTTTTTTTTAGTGTGTTTCTTCTCTGACAAATTGTCTCATTTTTTGTTAGTATGGAAATGTCTTTATTTCACCTTTACATTCAAAATATATTTTTGGTTTATTTGTTGTTTATCCTGTATGAGGTCATACTGCTTCTTAAAAATCTATTCTGGTATCTTTCAGTAGTTTTAAACATCTTGGCCAATATCTTTTTTTCTTCATTCAGTAATAGAAGGTGTTAATAAGGACTGGCCTCCAAAAGAGTGGAAAATATGCCAGAGGCCAGACACATTGGTTTACATCACAACAAGAAAGAATAAACATTGTGGGCCCAAAAAATAAACTGTAGTCTTCCAGAATTAGTACAGTAACAAAGCAACACCTTTATATTACATAAACATGACAAACTTCTAAGAAGCAAAGAAAACAGTGATGAGTGTTTCGCAGTTCATTAAAATACAATTGTTAGTTAGGTCTACAACCTCCAAGAGAATTACTCCATTAAAGGAGTGAGAAAGACTAAGAAAACTTAATTGGCTGAATCTGACTTTTTTCTCCTTTTCTTAGGGAAAGAATTGTTTCTGTACTCTTAAAAAAATGTTTGCTTTAAGAAAAAAAATTTAAAAATTGAAAACAAATCTTTTAAAATCCTAAAAGACAGCTAAAACAGTAAATTTTTTTCTGATTAAATTATTAAAGTGGCCTGATAATTTTAGAAGAAAGTATTTCCAGTTAACATTTTATAATAATAAATATAATAGTACACGAGAGGTAAGAGAAATGCAGAATCTTTAAAGTAAAACTGATTGTTCTATAACATAGAAAAACAAACATTTATAAAATAAACTTATTGCAAATGAAGTTGCCCGTTTATCTAATTATCAAATAAAAATATGCAGCTTTTTTTTTTCTTTACAATTACCATAAAAACTATTAAAAACATGAAGCAAAATCATAGGGCAGACAAAGTAAAAGATAGCATTACTGTAAATTAGCATGGCCTTAGCTTTGGGACTAAGACCCCTCCTGGAATTTGTCTTAAGGCTATGGCCTCTATCTTCCATTTTGTCTCCTTCCTATGTAGATGCAAATTTTTTCACCAATTTCATGGGAATCTTTTAAAGTCCTATAATTTTTAGTGTCTGATTTCTTTCTAGATTTGCATTTCCCCACAATTTAATGTTTAGATGCTTTTCACCAAAGTTTGTAGGATTCCAAACTGGTGAAATTAAAGATTTTTCTCCAAAATGAGAATTCCAAATATACTCAGAGAAATTATTTGAAATAGCTTCTAAGTAGGAAAGGAATGGATTAACAACTATTTCTCTAGTTACCTATATTTCTTTCCTAAATGAACAAATACCATACTGAAATGACAAAAACAGATTCATACAATGAAATCTGAAGCAGATCAAGCAGGAGGGTTGGAATTTTACACATAGATTGGAATTTTTTGTTAAATATGTGGTATGGGCAAATAAGCATTTCCACAAGGTGTGCAACTAAACAGACCCTAAATTTCTTATAAAAGAGCAGTCTTAATGGTCTTGTAGAAGGAAATTTAATATCCATGTATCATTAACAATTGTATGGAACCAAACACTTGGATAAAGAACTACTTTATCAACTTTAATCTCATGTTTGAATTGATTTAATTTTGATGGTTGAGTAAATCATTGAAAGGAGGCCAACAAATACAGCACGACTTAAGGAAGAAGAAAACTTCAATCTCTGGCCTAGGTGAATGCTGGCATCAAAATTTATACAATCAGCTTCCAGTTCCATTTTCCTTGGCTCTTTAGTTAAGTGTAAAACAAAAGAAGGCACACAAAACTTTTCATTTTCAGTTGACTTTGAATAGATATGAATTAAATTTCCATAGGTTTGGCAATATATAATAACAAAGGTCCAGAGGCACCAGAAAACCTGCTATTCAGAAAGTAACAGCAGAGAAAGTGTTAAGAAAATGGTATCTAGGCCAACTTTCCGGGCAAGACTTATAAGGATATGAAAACCCTCTACAGTCCATATATTTAAAATAACATATTTCAACTGCTCCAGGTGTTTTTTCTTTTAAATTTTTTAATACTCTATGGTTGTTCCCCTCTCCCCCCTTTTCCTGAGAAGTACAAAAACTAAAAGGTTCTGTACTTCAGTACATACATTAATGTATCAATAAAGTATTTCTTTTATTCTTTATTCTGCATTGCATCCAAACATTAAATTTTATTTTGGTCATTCAGCTTTATAAAACTCTAATTGCTATATAAAGCCTAAACACTCCAACCCTAACAAAAATTGCATTTTATAGAGCTCTTACATACTCTCTCCCAGGAAGCACATGAAGCAGAGAGGCGGCCAGATTCAGAAGCTAGATTTTCTTGTATTGTCCAAGTGATCAGGGATAACCAACATATTTCAAATGAGCTAAAATTATTTATGTTCAGGAAACACTTGTAAATAAATCCCAGGAATGCAAATATATGATGAAAAATAAACATGAAATGCATTCTGAATCAGCCAGTAATGTTTGCTAGAATAAGTCCATTTCAAAGCAGAATCCTAGGTTTTTACTGCTTGTAATGGAAAACTTTATGAGAGAATTCTGAGAAATGATGTGTGGAATTATGCTGGTTTATAAAATGAATATAATCCAAATCCTCAGCATCTGTCATGGCAGGGGGTGGAGGCCTTGCTGGCCTATCACTCCTAAAACAGAGAGGTTCAACATTCTCTTTTGACTTTGGGTGGGCTGATTTAGATGTTTTGGGTTTACACTTGGTGTCATGCTTCCTTTTGTCTAAAGGTGATTTCTCCCACTCCTTGGATTTATATTTATTTTTGAAGTTTTTATTGTGAATTGAGTGAAAATTTACAGGGCAGATCATCAGTTTACATACAACAAATCATATACCATTTTTCATTACAATGATTATAATCCCCTCTATGTATCATCAGATAACAATATTTCTCTCTATTCACTTCAGCTCTTTTTTTAACACTCAGGCATATGTAATAATTTATACCACCAAAGGGCATACCTCTTGGCTACCAGCTCTTAGTCCCTCTCTTCCCATTGATCTAGAGTTCTCAGCTGCTCCCTCTATCCATGTCTCTATCTCTACCTCCATCTCTGATGTCACTGCTTCTCTGGATAAGGTCATGCATTCTGCTTGTGCTCTTCTCCCTTGATGGTCCTGGGGTCCTCTGTTTCTGGACTGTAAGATTAACTACTCCCCCGTTTTTGATACAAAACTTCTACCTTTACAATTGTGACTGTCATAATTAGTCATGATAACAATTGCTCACTACTGAATCATAAAGATCTTAACCCATCTCCTTTCACCAGACCCATCTAGTGAAACTATTTAGTGGGGATTCTTTCTCCCCTCACACACTCTTAAACTAAACTCCCTCTTGAAACCTTGTAAGCCAGTCACTTTGTGTCTTTACTGCCCCCTCATTTTAGGTAGCCAATATCTAAGTTGCCTGTACCTATCTGCCCTGTGTACCGAGGGGATAGCCTTGATACTTGATGTGAAGACTCCTTCCCTCTCTGTTGGTATTTAGAGTTACTACTTCCATGAGTATAGGTCAGGTTCATCAAATTGTAGCAATTTACCCTTGTTTTCTTTATCAAAAAAAAATTTTTTTTTTTTTTTGGTAATCTTCCTCTAGTCAAGTTCTGATTATCAAGCCAAGGAGGCTAGGTCAAATGGGTACTATCTGCAAGTTTGAGTGTTCTTGTGCATCTCCCCTCACTTCATATCAGCTGGATGTTTCACTCTCAGCTCCAGCCCTCTGTGGTTATGTCCTTGTCCATGGGCTTAGGTATCCCCAGGTCTCATCACACTTTGGACCAACTAGCCCTTTCTCTTCTCTCTCTCATCTCCAGGTCAACAGGAGTCAATGGACTGTGTGGTTGAACTCAGCCCATTTCTTCATTGCTGCCTCTTCCACACATAGTAGACCAATGTGGTCATCAGAAAGCTTACTTGTCTGCTCATGTGTTCCCTTTGAGTTTCAGTCTTAGAGGAGGGTCTATCCTGAAGGAACTTGATTGTTTGCCTTGATGGCTTCTCGACAAACAGCTTGCTTATTCTTGTAATAGCCTTCATACTGCCATTTTCATTTTGGGTTTTTCCTGATGATCTTTCTTTGAAGATGTATTCCTTGGATTTCTTGTAAGCTTTCTTCTCCTCAGCCATTAGCAGTCGAGCAATTGCCTCATCCCAGGCTACTTGAGTTGCTCTCATATCCACCTGGGTAGCCAAAAGTTCTTCTTGCAGCTTTTTGGTGATTTCTGCATCATACCATCCTGATCCCTATGTGTCACTTGCAATGGAGTAGAGACAGATTCTTTCACTCCTCTAGGTTTTGTTACTCCATTTTCATAATAGTAACTATCTCTATACACACTAGCTCCAGAGGATTCTGGAAATCACTCCTCTCAGTTTTGTTCCTCCATCTTCCTAATAGTAGCTCTATACGCACTGGCTCTGGAAAGTTTCTTTCTCCTTTTTTCCCCCTGTAATTTCTTTTCTTGCAAAATGCAAGCTATGCCCTTATCTTTCTTCACTTGAAAGCATTGTCTCTCTGCTTCAATTGCAAGCTTCTCCTGAATTTCCTGAGCAATTTCACAGTCTTGCTGTTCAAGGTCTTTGTAACACTTTTGGAGCTGAGCCTGAGCTTTTGGATCTTCCTCTTGGAGTTGCTTAGCCACTTGGAGATCATGTTGAACCAGACGGTTTCGCTGAATGTTTGATGCCAAAAGATGCTAAATCTCTTGTTCCTGCAGGCTGTGAGCCAGGGTATGGTCCTCCAGGACAGCAAAATCTCAGCATACTTCCTTGACTCAGGGCAGTTTGCACTGATTGAAGCTGCTTTCAGTCAAGTTGGGCCAGAGTCCTGGCTGCCGGCGCCCACCCATCATGCCAGCTTCCCAGCCTCCACCGCTGGCCCCAAATGGGGCCAGGAGAACAGCAGCAGTGCCTGAGATGGTGCAAAATCCAACAGACAGCGCAAAGAGACCCAGAAGAGAGAGTGGGCAGAGCCCATGACAAAGGTGGCCGCAGACAGCACGGGTGCACCAACCTGGAGTCCAGCAGCCACCTGCTCCTCTTGCCAATGTCTTTTAAAAAATTGCTTTTATTACATTCTCCTTCTCCCATTTGGACTCCATTACCTGTACATTTAAAGTTTCCATCATATTTCATGTTTTTATACTTTGTTTGTTTCCCTAATGCTTCTTACTTTAGTTTTCACATTTTCTACTTAACAATCTGGACTATATGAAGATGAATATTGCATTAGGATCAGAGACGAGTCCTTAACAACTGGTTGTATGGAGATGATACAACCTTGCTTGCTGAAAGCAAAGAGGACTTGAAGCACATATTGATGAAGATCAAATACTTTAATACGTATTATATCTCAACATACAGAAAACAAAAATCCTCACAACTGAGCCAATAAGCAACATCATGATAAAAGAAGAAAATATCTAAATTGTTAAGGACTTCATTGCCTTTCAATCCACCATCTATACCCATAGAAACAGTAGTCAGGCAATCAAATAGCACAATTGCATTTGGAAAGTCTACTGCAAAAGACCTCTTTGAAGTGTTTAAAAAGCAAAGATGTCATTTTGAAGACTAAGATAAGCCTGACTCAAGTCATGACATTTTCAATCACTTTGAATGCATGCAAAGCTGGAAAATGAATAATGAAGACCAAAGAATAAGAATTGATGTATTTGAATTATGTTGTTGGTGAAGAATATTAAATATACTACGGACTGCCAAAAAAAAAAAAAAAAAAAAACTTCTTAGAAATAAGGATGGTGAGACTTTGTCCCGTGTACTTTGGGCATGTTGTCAAGAAGGTCCAGTCCCTACAGAACAGCATCATGCTTGGTAAAGCATGAAAAAGAAGAAAACACCTAAGAGATGGACTGAGAGAGTGTCTACAACAGGGAGATCAAGCAAGGGATGGATTTGAGGACGGCGTGAATACAGGAAACAACAACAGCTAGCTAATCTGCCAGATCACAAAATCTCTCTTGAATTCTGTCATCTGTTAATATACCTATTAAGTTTTAAATTTTAGTTATATTGTTTTTATATTATGCAATATCTATTTGAAATGCTTTCTCTTGTCTATTTTCTTGAATAGGTTAATAATCTTAATCATTTTAAAGACTTTGGTAAATAACTCTAATATTACTATCTGGGTCAGTTTTATATATTTTCTACTATTTTTTCCTTGGTCCTGTTTCTTGCTATGCTTTGTAAATTTGAAGAAATATAGACATTGTATATGATCATTTTAGAGGCTCTAAATGATGTTGTCTCATCCCTGGTGGACTCTTCTATTCTCTGAGAGGGGTGGATCACCTCATCCCAACCAAAATCTGAAGCTCTTTTTCAGTCTTTAAATTGGACTTCCTCATTCTTTTCATACCATTTCAAGGTCTCAATTGAGAATCTGTGGGGGTTTTTTTCCTAGGGACCTTTTCCTCAATAAACCCTGAACTCCAATTCATATTTCCAATATCCTGGTGTGGCACTGTAGGCTAAGCATTGGACTGCTAACTGCAAAGTCCAGCTGCTCCACGGAAATCTTATACAGGGTTGCTCCAAGTCTGAACCAAATTGTCGGCATTTAACAACAGCAACAATATCCTGAAACTTAAAATTTTACTCTACTTTTTAACTTTGAGCTTTATTAGCTTTTGTCTTACATTGTTGTTATTAAATACCATCGAGTCGGTTCCCACACATAGCAACCCTGTATAGAGTTTCTGAGGAGTGGCTGGTGAGCTTGAAACATTGATCTTGTGGATCAAACTGACTTTGCAGTCCAGTGCATTAACCTACAGTGCCATACCAGGACCCCTTACATAACTTACAGCAAATGCTTTGAGAGGTCAATCAGTGTTCAGTATTAGCCACATATTTCTGTGTCTTTTCTTGAGAATATTTTTTCCTTAAGTCCTGGCTGTCTTAAAAACCTCAACTCAAATTTTGTTTCTGTATCCTTTTGCATTTGTTTAGAACTCTGTTGGCATCTCTGATGCCTTTTATTTATCATCCAAGCCTGATAATGTTTGCAAGGATTGGAAAATTCACTGAGAGAAAAATGGCTTTTGTCAATTTGGTTCTGGTATTTCCACAGTGTAGACCCTCAGGCCCTAACTAACTCTCTTCTATTCCTTCAAATAGTTTCTTTTTTTATTTATTCAATATTTCTGATTGCTCTCAAGGGGCGTATTGGTCTACTGCAAGCCACTCTATTATAACCAAAAGAAAATGCCTTTGCAGTTATTTTCTTTTCTATGCATGTTTTAGTTAACCATTGAGTTTGTTTTTTGTCACTTAAGCAGTCTGGACTTCAGGATTCTTCTATGGCCTTCTAGTTATATGAGTCAATATATCCTTTTGAAATTAAGTCCATAATTTTAGATAGTCATTTTCTACAGTGTCCTTATGGAGGTGAGAAGGGACAGAAGCAAGGCCAATGATATGAACAAAGAAAAAAAGTTAGCAACCTCTTATCTTTACTCACAGAGCTTATCTGTCCTATACTACAGGGCACAGGGCTGTCATTCTTTGCACATGTATTGTTCTAGAACACTGCTAGAGTGTTGCATCTCAGGAGTCATGCTAAAATTTTGATATGCATAACTTGGGTGGTCCCCAACGGATCACTTTCATAGACAGCAGTGCGAATGGGGTCTCCTGAGATCATGAAATATAGTTCTATTCCATGGCTTATTTCAAAGCATCACCGCTTTGGTTATCCTACTAGCCCAGTGTTCAGTGATCAAATGATTTTCCTTTTATCAGTCATCCTCAGTCTACCTCATCTCTTATCTGTCCTTTGTCTTCTGTTTTCACTATATTCTCAGATGACTAGAAGGTTAGATTCTGCAGCTAATTTATAATGTTACAGGACTAGCTTAGTGTGTCAGTCTTCTCAATTAGTTGATTTTCACTTGTAACATGTTCAAATGATTATAGAAAACCTTCCAACCAATGATACAGCTTTTACATTATCAGATTTTTTTCCTGAAATCTAGTAGGAAAAAATGTTGTGTTAGGTTGAATTTGGATAGTGAATATATAATCATATTGGAACTCAATTATATCACATATGTCTAAGAATTAACTCAAGATGGATTTTATAGTTTAGCATATTTTGCTTTTTTTGTCTTCAGTTCCTGTATTGTCTGTGTTCTGTATTCAGTTCTATTTAACTCAATTTGAACTTAGAATTTTCAAATGTTTAATTTAATGTTTAAATTAGGATGAATTTGTATTATGCTGGGCATAATAAAAATGTCTTTAATTCTAAACAGTTTGCAACATCTTTTTCAATATTTGTGATACTTTATATCATTCCAACTAGTTTTTGAATCACTTGTCATTCCATATCCAAGTGTTTAATTATTCACAGTGTAAGAAATTCAATTTATTTACTGTGCAATGTGAAATTAAATTGCATACTCGTAAGGAGCATGTTATGAATGTCTTACTTAGTACATTGAGAAAATGAATAAGTTTGTAATACACTTTGATGACTTCAGTAAAGAATTATTTAGAATACTTAACAAAAAAACAGTTGCATGCCAGCTGCATATTTTATCTGGCTTTTATGTGAAGATCAAAGGGAAAAAAGCACTGAAATTGGAAAGGTACTGAATATGTCTTCTGTTGAATCTGAAAACGTGATGCTTTAACTTGGTTACACGGAAAGGCGTTGACTGTCAAGAGACACAATGCTAAGATTGCCTCTATCATTCTAAAGGCTAGTTTTCTCAAGAAAAGAAATAGTCATAGATTCTTTGATGCATTTTTAAACCCCCTTTTTTTAAATTGTGAAGTAAAATACACATGCAGAAATGACATATTGTTTTTAGGTTCTGTCCAATCATTTCTTATTCATAGCAACGCTACGCATAACAGAATGAAACACTGGCCAGGTCTACACCATCCTCACAATTATTGCTATACTTGAGTCCATTGTTGCTGCCACTTTGTCGTTCCATTTTGTTGGGGACTGTTCTCTTTTCTGTAGCTTCCTACGGTACCAAGCAAGATAGGCCCAGGGATTGGTTACCCCTAACAACGTGTCCAAAGTTCTAGTGAGAAGTCTTACCATCCTCCTATTTAAGGAACATTCTGGCTGTTTTTCTTCCAAGATAGATTTGATTGTTCTTCTGGCAGTCTATGGTACTTTCAAAAATTTTCACCAACCCTAATACTCAAATGCACCAGTTCTCCTAATCTCTTCCTTATTCATTGTCTAAGTGTCACATGCATATGTTGTAGTAGTAATTAAGTGCTAATGATGAGTCAATTCCAACTCATAATGATCCTATGAGTATAGGGTTTCTGAGGAGCAGCTGATGGATTGGAACTATTGACTTTTTGTGCTTAGCAGTCTAGTACTTATCTTATAGCCCACACCAGGACTTCATATGAGGCAAGTGAAAATAGCATGACTTGGATCAGGAGCACCTTAACCCACAAAGTAACATCTTTGCTCTTTAATACTTTAAAGAGGTCTTTTGCAATATTTTTGCCTCATACAATATGACTGATTTCTTAAGCCACTGTTTCCATGAGCACTAAAGAATGACATATATGAGTCATAATCACCTCAATGGCAGTAGGTTTTAGTTTAGTTTGAATATATTTATTATGAAAATGACCTCTATGCCATATGAATGATTACATATGCCATGAAGTGTTATCATAGCATATTGAATTGTTATGATTACCACTACAAAAGTCACCAAGTAGAACTTTGTAAACTACCTCAGATCTCTACTTGTGGTATCCCAATCACAGTTTGTTCCTTCTTCCATAAAATTAACCACTAGCCTTACACTTAGAAGCCTGGTGTGGTGCTGAGGGTTAATGTGCT